CAAACGTCATATAAATACGCCAACGCAATTAACATTATTGCTGAATAGATCTAACATTTACACATTTGCTTGAGGAAGGAGTGATGGGGGTTGTTACATTACTATTACTATTTTCCAAAACATCTACGCCCTTCCATAACATTAGCTGACGTTAAAACTAAAAGATAGCACTATAGCTATTGATTAGCAATCTGTCAACGATGGGATGTAAAAAATATAGGACAACAAATAGCGTCAAATGATAGAATACATAGCAAACATTAGAAAATAAAAGGGTTTAGCCAATTAAAATCAATGGCCTATACAGAAATTAAATAAAGCTCTTAAATCTACTTCACTTTTGACTGTATTTGCATATTGATTAAAGTTACTGTAGTTTTTTAGTGAAGAGCAGCAAATTAATCTCTCATTGTGATTTGTTTGATTGTGTTTTGTTATTTTAAGAATGCACAGATCTATAATGAAGCATTCGACTACTTCAGTAACTGTTTGTGCTGATTTAAGAGAAAATGAGTAGTGTTTAAAATAAAACACGCAGGACGGAGCAAAAAAAAAAAAAAAAAAACGAAAAAAAGAAGCATTTTTCCGACGGTCCCTTACTGAGAGCTCTGCTCAGCGCGAGCTCTACCGGCTAAACGCAGATTGCGAGAGCTCAAACAGAGCAGTGGTCGTAATGTCGAGCGAAAAAAAGAAAAAGACAGCTGTGAAACATAACCAGCTTTGTCTTCTTGTAGGAAACACACTTTAGATATTTTTAGGGTAAGAGGTTTTTGAGTTATTGCTGTCAGTCGTACTGGTTTTGATTCACCGCAATGTAAATATAGCTGCAGCTATGTGACGTTGCGCGACCCATCTTTGTTCACTGTGCGACCCACTAGTGGGTCACGACCCACAGTTTAAAAACCCCTGCACTAACACAACACCACACTGTCAAAAATGGCTGTTATTGAGCAGTTTCCATATTTTGTGATTCACAGGAGTTTATTTAAAGTAGTTAATTGCATTATTGGATGTTGATCTCTGCTCTGTCCACTTTTGATGTTGTAAATTCAGCTCTAGTGACTTTTATTGACATTTTAGTCACAAAACTGCTAATTTGTGGATGTTTTAAATTGTGTAGTCAAACCTCAGCTGTGTTTTAGTGAGGCTGTGTTTGGTTCAGCACCTGTTTGGCAGATGGTGTCATGCCCGTCTGCACCACAATAACAGCTCGAGTGATGTTCTCCTCCTGCATGCGCTGGCAGTACATCTTAATGGTCTTGATGCCCACTTTAAGCTCCTCTAATGCACAAAAACACATTGAAATATGTGAGGATTCAAATCGGTTTAAAACTGCATACACTGTAAAAAAAAAACAAATCTGTTGCTGCGTCCCAAAGGGCTATTCTGTAGATTAGCCCTATAGATATATACATTAGATGTCGCCTACCCTGTTGTTGTCTATTGGAAGGAATGCATCAATAGAGCCGCCATTTTGGTACAGGGTAGCGCTCCTTTGAAATGAATGCGGGACCAAGGTACAGTGGAGGACTGTGGCCATCCAGAGCCAGAGATATACACATATACACATATATCTATGATCGGGAGTTTTCCTGGATGTTAGTATGCTAAATTTTTTTATTACGAAATTTATAATTTTACATCACTTTTCTACATTGATGGATCAGTGACCGCACAGCCATTCCTGACAAAAAGCTTGTGTTTGTGTGTATGGAAATGTACTATTCACCCTCCCTGTTAAATTTGATGTAATCATGTCCTGAAACACAGCTCCTCTCCTGCTTTCACTTCTCATACTGACGGAGGGAGCGATTCGTTTGTGAATGAATCTCCGTTATGATTGACTCCTTCACTAGCCGACAATAATACAAGTTTCTGGCAGCGCAGCATCTCGTTGTCATATTTCTTTTGCATTGTTTGCTGATTTTATTCAACAAAACTAGCATAAGCCGAGTGTTTAGTGCGAGTTGGAGCTGCTTTGCCTTATGGTGAATGCAGTAAGTGACTGATTATCATCAATAACGTGACCTGATTAGCACAAAAGTTCAGCACAAACAAAAACAGAAAAAAACTTAATATTACCTATGAAATGTTCTGCCTTTGTGCTTTGTTTTCTTTGTTTGCTCGTTACTACACCCGTAGACAGCGCTAAAGTCCCGCATCTTCACGTAATAACACTGTCTTGACTAGTGCGGCTGAATGACATTTGTCCTGGGAGCACTGTACCAATGTGGCGACGCTATTGACGCATGCTCAGGGTCCCTATGCGATATCTAGTGTATATATCTATGGATTAGCCCAATGGCGAAACTAACAGCATGGTCGAAGGTTTAATGCATGTTAGCCTTTTCTAGTGCTTCTGAAAATAATTTTGTTATTTATTAGAATTTATTTATATTCGTTTTTTAGCTCCGAATTTAATCTGACTCCAATTTTAAGTGATCCTAAAATTTAGACTGTATTTCTAATTGTAAGAATGGATCACATTCATCATTTAGAGTTTTCATTTATATTTACATTTACATTTAGTCATTTAGCAGACGCTTTTATCCAAAGCGACTTACAAATGAGGACAAGGAAGCAATTTACACAACTAAGAGCAACAATGAATAAGTGCTATAGGGAAGTTTCAGGTCTTATATCTATTTTTACGCTGTAAATACTGCTATCCGAGTGTAAACACCGCAATCAGATTATTGCCATCGTGTAGGATTTTCGCCGCATTTTGCGACAGGATAGTCTATACACACACGGCTTTCAGACACTACCTACCGAGTGCATCCGAGTTACCAAGAAATGCAGAGTTTTTTTTCTCCCATTGGCCGCACGGTATCAAACATTGCCATGGTCTCTGCTACATTCATTCTTCCATGGGCAGGCACCACACCAAAACTCATCCCGCCACAGCTACATTACAGCTTCTCATTCAAAACATGCAGCATGCACGCATGAAGTGTTGCTGAATGAAAGTGCTGAGCTGCAGTTAAAATTAACAAATTAAGAATTCGATAAGCAAATAATTTGATTACTGATGTCCATGTAAACACAGGCGAGGCAGTGGAGCAGTAGGTAGTGCTGTCGCCTCACAGCAAGAAGGTCGCTGGTTCGAGCCTCGGCTCAGTTGGCGTTTCTGTGTGGAGTTTGCATGTTCTCCCTGCCTTCGCGTGGGTTTCCTCCGGGTGCTCCAGTTTCCCCCACAGTCCAAAGACATGCTACAGGTGAACTGGGTAGCCTAAATTGTCCGTAGTGTATGAGTGTGTGTGTGGATGTTTCCCAGAGATGGGTTGCGGCTGGAAGGGCATCCGCTGCGTAAAAACTTGCTGGATAAGTCGGCGGTTCATTCCGCTGTGGCGACCCCGGATTAATAAAGGGACTAAGCCGACAAGAAAATGAATGAATAAATGAATGAATGTAAACACAGTCTCGGTCTATCTCCCCTGCGTCTGTGCGTGTTGTTTTGGCTCTGTGAAAATCAGCGCGTGCACGTACTGAAACTCCCCTTTTCTTGCAAACCCTTCCCTCTTTCAGCCCTCAACACTCCCACCTAAACAAAGCTGGACTTACCCATTTTCCTGACATTTCTCAAGCTGGAGGTGTGAAAACCCCCTGCTGAGACAGGGGTGGTGTCATGGCCTTTAATATTTAAATTAAAATGTCATAATAATGATGATGATGTTTTGAATGTGTCGTTTTCATAATGAAGATGTTGTCCATGTAGTCATGTTTAAACAAATTAAACATGAATGAATTAATTTTAGTTTAGGTTTTGAAAGCAGCACAATACAACTAGGGAAACGACACCATAAACTTAAATTCAAGCACTTTTTAGGACTTATGGTTGTTTTTAGATACTTTCCAGGCCTTGAATACACATGTCTGAAATTCAAGTGCTTTCAGGGAGCGTGGCAACTCTAATTAACATCATTCAAACAACTTTACCCAAGCCTCCCTACTTGACGGTTTGTCTGCCATCTTTGTAGTTTGTTTACATTTTTTTTTTTACCTGACTTTATAGTTCCAACTGAATTCACGTCCAACATTGTGGGTAATATTAGCGGTTAAAGCACGTATGGTTCTACAGTTCTTTAAAGGATATAGTAGATCATAGGTCTCAAACTGAATTCCTGGAGGGCCGCAGCTCCAACCTTAATCAAACACAGCTGATCCAAATAATCAAGGTGTTCAAGACTACTCAAGACTACTAAGCTGTCTTTAAAAGGTCTTTAAATTTGATATTAAGCCTCGAAGGGCAAAAAATGAATTTAATTAATGGGGCATATAATTAAATAAATAGAATTCAAAAGTTCATATAAAAGCATAAAATGTATTAAACATAAGTTTTCCTTCCTAATCTGCAATTGCCTCTCTGGCTCCACCGCTAACCGTTCTTAAAAAAATATATAAAATAAAAAGTAAAATAAATAAACTTACATTACTAATGCTTTGCTTCTTACACTTTACACACCTGAAACTAAAAGCGTCTGCTAAATGACTAAACGTAAATAAATCAATAGTTAATATAAAGCATAAAATTCAATAAATACTACCATATTAATTCCATAAAATAAATAAAAAATATGTCAATAAAATATTTAGCACAGTCATGTATGCTTAATTTGAACAAGAACAAAAATTCATCCTAAAACATTAATTAAATGTTATAGAAAGGTAAAAAAAATATATAGTAGATCATAGGTCTCAAACTGAATTCCTGGAGGGCCGCAGCTCCAACCCTAATCAAACACAGCTGATCCAAATAATCAAGGTGTTCAAGACTACTAAGCAGGTGTGAGTTGGAGGTGGTTGGAGATCAACTGTGCAGAGCTGCGGCCCTCATGAATTGAGTTTGAGACCATTGTAGTAGAGCATCCAGGAATCCACTCAGACACACACACTCAGCTGCATCAGATCTGACCTGGGAAGAAGACGAACATCTGATCTGTGGGATCGTCATTGTGGGCCACCAGAACGGTGAGGTCAGTGCGTCTGGGTCGTCCCTCGCTGGGTCGATCTCCAAACTGAATCTTGAACTCATCCAGGGTTTGGTCCAGCTCGTCCTGCGTCACCAGATACCCGCGGTCATGGCACAGCTACAACAACAACAACAACAACACAGGTTTGTTTATTAGTGTGTATATTTGTGCCATACAAATACAGCATGGCATTACAAATTAATACATGTCTACTTTATGAAGATATATATTTACATACAGCTGAAGCTAAATTATTCGCCCTTCTGTTAATTTGCTTTTTCCAAGTATTTTCCTAGTAATGTTTAGCAGATTCAGGAATTTGTCCACTGTATTTCCTTCATTCATTTTCTTGTCGGCTTTATTAATCCGGGGTCGCCACAGTGGAATGAACCACCAACTTATCCAGCATGTTTTTAGACAGCGAATGCCCTTCCAGCTGCAACCCATCTCTGGGAAACATCCACACACACATTCTCACACACACACACATACACTACGGACAATTTAGTCTACCCAATTCACCTGTACCGCATGTGTTTGGACTGTGGGGGAAACCGGAGCACCCGGAGGAAACCCACGCAAACGCAGGGAGAACATGCAAACTCCACACAGAAACGCCAACTGAGCCAAGGATCGAACCAGCGACCTTCCTGCTGTGAGGCGACAGCACTACCTACTGCGCCACTGCGACAACAAAAATAATACATGTATACTTTATGAAGATATACATTTACATACAGCTGAAGCTAAATTATTCGCCCTCCTGTTAGTTTTCTTTTCCCAAGTATTTTCCTAATAATGTTTAGCAGATTCAGGAATTTGTCCACAGTATTTCCTATAATATTTTTTCTTCTGGAGAAAGTCTTCATTGATTTGGCGTTTAATTTTTTAGAAACCCATTTAAGGTCAATATTATTACCCCCTTCAGCAATACTTGTTTTGGGTTGTCTACAGAACAAACCACTGTTAAACAATGACTTATAATTAATAATAACTACTTATAATTACCATAACTTTACCCTAATTAACCTAGTTAAGCCTTTAAATGTCACTTTAAGCTGAATACTAGTGTCTTATATATCTAGTCCAGGGGTCACCAACATGGTGCCTGTTGGCACCAGGTAGCCCGCCAGGTTCACATGAGTTGAGCCTGTTCTAAAAATAGCTCACCATACATAGCACCACATATGAGTAAGCTGCATCTAATATTTTTATAGGTATTCTTATTAACTCACACTTGCATTGGTGTAAATTTAAAAATTACTTTAAGTTATACATTTAAAAAAACTTTAAAAACAATTCAAGACAAATGAAGTGTTGCATGTTATTATTTATCTAACTTGTTAAATCATTGTTGACAGCTACTGTGAGAAATCATTAACATGATCAATGCCTTCACATAGATGAATATTATTAATTATTAACATATAATTAAAAGTAAGAAATGTGTTATTTAATAACTGGTAGCCTTTTACACTAATCGGTACCAAAGAAGTAGCTCTCAGTTTCCAAAAGGTTGTTGACCCCTGATCTAGTCTAATATTATGTGTATTATGTGTCTTGTGAAAGAAATCTAACTTTTACAGAAGGGCAAATAACTTTGTCTTTAACTGTGTGTGATTTGCAGATCATTTCAGATGGCACTAAAACCATTTTTGTTACTTAAATCATTTTAAATACATTTATAGTACTTTAGTTACTTGGTAAGATCTTTATTTAAACTTGCATTTATTTAATTTCAGAATCTTGCCAAGGAAATGTTTCTCAGCTAACCATGTACTAACCAACATCTACAAAATGAAGGTAGCATTTCTTTTGTTCATTTAACTGTAATTGTTGTGTGTCTGTGATTTATCTTTATTTTTCCATGGATTTGAGTTTGAAATCAGGGCGACACGGCAAGAAGGTCGCTGGTTTGAGTCCTGGCTGGGCCAGTTGGCATTTCTGTGTGGAGTTTGCATGTTCTTCTCATGTGGGCGTGGGTTTCCTCCGGGTGCTTAAATAAACTAAATCGTCCGTAGTGTACGAGTGTGTGTGAATGATTGTGTATGGGTGTTTCCCAGTGCTGGATTGCAGCTGGAAGGGCATCCGCTGTGTAAAACGTATGCTGGAATAGTTGGCGGTTCATTCCGCTGTGGCGACCCCTGATACATGAGCAACTAAGCTGAAAAATGAATGAATGAGTTTGAAATCAGTAAGCTACTTCTTTTTAACTAAAACATTTTAAAAACTGTTAAATTTACTCAAATGTGCCTTCAGTTATTTAATCATTTATACAATTATTACTAAAACGTTAAAAGTAACATGAAAACAAAATGTAAACATGAATAAAAGATACTATTTGTAACACCAGATTAACTTTGAAATGGCACAAAGAAATAGCTACACTCACCGGCCACTTTATTAGGTACACCTTACTAGGACCGGGTTGGACCCCCTTTTGCCTTTAGAACCGCCTTAATCCTTCATAGCGGTGATTCAATAAGGTACTGGAAATATTCCTCAGAGATTTTGCTTCATATTGACATGATAGCATCACACAGTTGCTGCAGATTTGTCGGCTGCACATCCATGATGCCAATCTCCCATTCCACCACATCCCAAAGGTGCTCTATTGGATTGAGCTCTGGTGACTGTGGAGGCCATTTGAGTACAGTGAACTCATTGTCATGTTCAAGAAACCAGTCTGAGATGATTCACGCTTTATAACATGGTGCATTATCCTGCTGGAAGTAGCCATCAGAAGATGGAGACACTGCTCATAAAGGGATGGACATGGTCAGCAACAATACTCAGGTAGGTTGTGGCGTTGACACAATGCTCAATTGGTACTAATGAGCCCAAAGTGTGCAAAGAAAATATCCACCACACCATTACACCACCACCACCAGCCTGAACCAGGATGGATCCATGCTTTCATGTTGTTGACCCCCAATAATCAGACCCAACCATCTGAATGTGTCAGCAGAAATGGAGACTCATCAGAGATGGCGACGTTTCTCCAATCTTCTATTGTCCAGTTTTGGTGAGTCTGTGTGAATTGTAGCCTCAGTTTCCTGTTCTTAGCTGACAGGAGCGGCACCCGGTGTGGTCTTCTGCTGCTGTAGCCCATCCGCCTCAAGGTTGGATGTGTTGTGTGTTCAGAGATGCTCTTCTGCAGAGCTCGGTTGTAACGAGTGCCTATTTAATTTACTGTTGCCTTTCTATCAGCTGGAACCAGTCTGGCCATTCTCCTCTGACCTCTGGCATCAACAAGGCATTTGCGCCCACAGAACTGCCGCTCACTGGATATTTCCTCTTGTTCAGACCATTCTCTGTAAACCCCAGAGATGGTTGTGTGTGAACATCCCAGTAGATCAGCAGTTTCTGAAATACTCAGAGCAGCCCGTCTGGCACCAACAACCATGCCACATTCAAAGTCACTTAAATCCCCTTTCTTCCTCATTCTGATGCTCGCTTTGAACTGCAGCAGATCATCCTGACCATGTCTACATGCCTAAATGCATTGAGTTGCTGCCATGTGATTGGCTGATAAGAAATTGTCGTTAACGAGCGCCTGGTTAGTAGTGTTAGTAAAGTACCTAATAAAGTGGCCGCTGAGTGTATATTCTCTTAATTCAGACAGTCAGTATATATTTTTACGTTTATATATATCAGTTTTTTGATTTCAGTTATTTAAAATACATGTTATACACTTTAAATGATTAATTTCTCACCATTTAACCGAATAACCTTAACAGTTGGTCTGTAATATGTGAGTGTGACAGAAATAAAACAAAGACAGCTCAGTCGACATTCACACCTGCATTACGGTCTTCCGGATTTTCCATAATCGATAAGTCTCCTCTTCATCATCCATCAGCGAGATTTATTCAAAATATAATATTCCGATTCAAACTACACGCACTTCCTGACAACAGGTGGAGGTGAAGGACCCCGCATGCTGTCTATTTATTGCCATGCTAAATTAATTAATGTATTTATTTTAATGTTTTATAATTGTGCATATTAATTATAATATTAGAAGTGTGTTTTATTTATTTGTTTCACAATCGTAAAACAGTATATGGAGGACGAAACCTGCAAAAAAAAATTAATAAATAAAATAACAAATAAATGCACTAATTCCTGCCAAAAGAAGCAATAAATGAATAAAAACACAAATAAATAAATTAATGAATAAACAAATACACAGATTCCTGCACAAATGAATAAATAAATTCGCAAATAAATAAATAAACACACAAAGCCTACATAAATTAATAAATAAATAAATACATACGCAAATAAATTAATAAATATATACACAAATTCCTATACAAATAAATTCATAAATTCGCAAATAAATTAATAAATATACACACAATTGAATAAATAAATAAATTCGCAAATAAATTAATAAATATATTCACAAATTCCTATATAAATAAATAAATTCGCAAATAAATTTATAAATATATACACAAAAATACACAAATTAATAAATAAATTAGCAAGTAAATTAATAAATATATGCACAATTAAATAAATATATAAATTCGCAATTAAAATAATATATTTATACACACATTCCTGCACAAATGAATAAATGAATAAATACGCAAATAAATTAATAAATATATACACAAATTCCTATACAAAAAATAAATTCACAAATAAATTAATAAATATATACACAATTGAATAAATAAATAAATTCACAAATAAATTAATAAATATATACACAATTGAATAAATAAATAAATTCGCAAATAAATTAATAAATATATACACAATTGAATAAATAAATAAATTTGCAAATAAATTAATATATATATACACAATTGAATAAATAAATAAATTCGCAAATAAATTAATAAATATATTCACAAATTCCTATACAAATAAATAAATAAATTCGCAAATAAATTAATAAATATATTCACAAATTCCTATACAAATAAATAAATAAATTCGCAAATAAATTAATAAATACATACACAAATATACACAAATTAATAAATAAATTCGCAAATAAATTAATAAATATATACACAAATTCCTATACAAATAAATAAATTCGCAAATAAATTAATAAATATATACACAATTGAATAAATATATTAATTCGCAATTAAAATAATATATTTATATACAAATTCCTATACAAATAAATAAATAAATTCGCAAATAAATTAATAAATATATACACAATTGAATAAATATATTAATTCGCAATTAAAATAATATATTTATACACAAATTCCTATACAACTTAATAAATAAATTTGCAAATAAGTTAATAAATATATACGCAAATTCCTATCCAAATAAATAAATAAATTTGCTAATAAATTATTAAATATATACACCAAAGAATAAATAAATAAATTCACAAAAAAATTTATAAATATATACACAAATGAATAAATAAATAAATTCGCAAATAAATTAATAAATGTATACACAAATTCCTGGACAAATGAATAAATAAAGAAATTCGCAAATAAATTAATAAATATATTCACAAATTCATACACAAATGAAGCAATAAATAAATAAACACGCAAATATATAATGCATAAATAAATATATAAATTATTACTAGTGTGGTGTGGAAGGGGGGAAATCTTTCAGTTAGCATTTTCTTATTCCCCTCTTATCTGTGTAATTAATTTAATTATTAATCTGCCCACACTATTTATACATTTATGTCTGCAGGTATTTGTGTTTTTTTAAATATATATTTATCTATTTATTTGCATATTTATGTATTGTTTTGTTTATGCAGGAACTTGTGGATTTATTATTTTTATTTATTTATTGTTTTTGCAGGTTTTGTCCTTCATAACAGTACTGTATGAAATTAAATTGCTATATAAAATATGTCTAGACATAAGAAGTAACACAGTCCATTTACGGTGCATTCAATAGGCTTTTGTAGCAGATAATATGAGAACAGGATATGTAATTCAAATATTACAAATTAAATAATTGACATAAATATATCCATTAAATGTACAGAAAATAACATAATAAAGTTTATCAGGAGAACGGATGACAAGAAGAATTAAAATCTGAATATCGCACTACACGTAAGATTATGGAAATTGATTATGACCTCGAAACATTTAAAATAAACGAATATATTAATATAATTAACATTAATTTATTTATTTTCATTTTTTAGCTTTCATATTTCGTGTCAGTGTATGTATATAATAAAGACGAGGAAACTAAATATTCAAATATTTTCTGGGCTTCTGTGTATACAATAAATACGAGGAAATACAATTTACATACAATTTATATATACGCATTGCACGTAATGATCATATGACTTTGCATCAGTTGCATAGGCACGACTCTGATTGGCTGGGGACTTCTGGAAAGGCGTGTTTTCCACAAAAGTAGGCGTGGTCTTGTGCCGCAGTGCTACTAGTATGTGGTTGTTTCAGAGAGCGCTGTTGGTCGGAGCGGTGGGCAGCAAGAGCTTCGCCAGAGCAATGGTGAGTCTTCATATAAGCTTTTAACCTAGTTTTTAAGCATGTTTAACACAGTAATGGGTTATTTAAAAACTACTTTATGCAGTTGTTGTTACAAGGTCAAAGTGCGGTGTGGCTATTTTTGTAGCACCTGTGTGTGTCTCCGCTAATTCATTCCGGTGCAGCAACGTTAGCCGTTAGCTTCAATGGTGAAATCACGCCCCTGCGGAAATAATCAGCGTTTCTGGTGTTTTACGTGATTTATGTTGACATATCTTTTACGAAACTGCTTGTTAACGTCTGTTATTGTGTAGATATATGTTTAAGGCCTGGTTTCGGTTAACCGTTAGGGTTCTGCTTTTAATCACGTGGAGAAATCCGTGATAACAATCTTGTTTAAGTTTTAATTTTTCTAGTGCTCAATTAAGTACATTTATTTGTGTTATTATTTAGCCTAATTTGTGTAATGGTCGTTTTTAAATGAAGAATCATTATTTTTAGCTTATTAAACGTTTTAATATTGTTTTTTTTATTGTTATTTATATTGTATCGTACATGTTTACACTTTAGAGTTTAATTATGTTTCATGCATTGCATTTATAGTCATTACTCAAATCTAGTACTCAAGTAGATTTTTATTATTATTATAATTATAACTATTATTATTATTACTAAGCAGTACGCAATTAAGTACGTTTGTGTTGTTATTAAGCCTAATGTGTGTGTTATGGTCGTTTTTGAATGAAGAATCATTCATTTTTAGCTTATATATGGTTTTAATATTGTTTTGTCTTGTCATTTATATTGTATTGTACATGTTTACAATCTTTACTCTATATAGTCATTACTTATAATTATAGTTATAGTCATTACTCTAATCTAGTACTCCAGGAAGTAGATTTGTATTTATTATTATTGTCGTTGTTATTCTTATTCTTATTATTAATCAGTACGCAGTTAAGTACGTTTGTGTTCTTATTAAGCCTAATAAATATTTTTTATTGTATATGAGTGTAATAGATTGCATTCATAGGCATTACAGCATCTAATACTCAATTAAGTGCACTTACTATTAAGCCTAAGTGTTATGGTCGTTTTTATTGAAGAATCAGTCATTTTTAAGTAATGATTGTGTTTAAGATTGTGTTGTATTGAGATTTATATATTATATTGCATCATGTTTACACGTTTGCATCATAAATACAGGTTATTGTACATGAGTCTAATAGATTGCATTTGTAGTAGGCATGGGCCGGTATAATATTCTGACAGCATGATAACCTTGGATAAAAATGTCACGATATCGTGATTACTGCTCAAAAATATATTCTTTTTAAATGTCTGGGCAAAAAACAAAACCTTTTTTCCCTTTTGAAAACTAAATATTTTATTTGGAGAAACATTTAAAATATTTTGGAACTATAAACGCATCAGTAAAAATAAAATAAAAATATTAATGACTTCTGCTTTTTTCATTTGTTTCAAAAACTCTTTTTATTTTTACAATTTAAAGCTAAATCTTTTCTGCTGGAAATACTGTTGTCGTAAAAAAAACAATAAATAAATAAATCATACACATACCTTAGAAATGGTATTGCAGAAAATTGACGGTTTCAAAACCTTGACTTTTCCAAACGGCGGTATACCTTGAAAATGGTTATCGTTCCATGCCTAATTTGTAGGCATTACATCTAGTACTAAATTAAGTACATTTATTTGTATTCCTATTAAACCTAATAGGTGTTATAGTCATTTTTAAAGAGGTATCATTCATTTTTAACTTATTAATAGGTTTAATATTTTGTTTTATTGTTATTTAAATTTTTCGCAAATTAGATTTTATTTACACTGTTTAGATTTTATTAAATTTCTTAAATACAGTTTTATTGTTTAAATTGTTGTTATCATTTTAATGAAGAATCATTAATTTTAGGGGATTGTTTAAGATTGTGTTGTATGTATGTATGTATAATGTTTCTTAAATACAGGTTATTGTATATGTGTAATAGATTGCATTTATAGATTTTTTTAGATGCATTTTTAGTACATTAAAGGTAATTATTGTGTTTAATATTGTGTTAAATTAAGATTAAGATATAATATTGTACATGTTTACACTGTTTAAATTTTATTATGTTTCATAAATACATTTTATTGTATATAAGTCTAGATTGCATTTGTAGGCATTACAGCATCTAGTACTCAATTAAGTACACTTGAACTATTATTAAGCTTAATCAGTGTTATGGTCGTTTTTAATGAAGAATTCTTTGGTGATGTATTTAGTCATTCAGTTGAAGTCAGAGTTATTAGGCCCCCTATGGATTTTTTTTCTATTTTTTTTTAAACATTTCCTAAATTATGTTTAACAATGCAAGGAAATTTTCACAGTATGTCTGATAATATTTTTTTCTTCTGGAGAAAGTCTTATTTGTTTTATTTTGGCTTAAATAAAAGCAGATTTGAATTTTTTTAAAGCCATTTTAAGGACAATATTATTAGCCCCTTTAAGCTAATTTTTGTTTCAACTGTCTACAGAACAAACCATCATTATACAATAACTTGCCTAATTACCCTAACCTGTGTAGCTAACCTAATTTAAGCATTTAAATGTCACTTTAAGCTAGTGTAGAAGTATAGAAGTGTCTTTAAAAAAGATTTAGTCAAATATTATTTACCATCATCATGACAGATAAAATAAATCAGTTATTAGAGATGAGTTATTAAAACTAATATCTTTAGAAATGTGTTCTTCTCTCCGTTATACAAAAATTCGGGTAAAAATAAACAAGGGGTCTAATAATTCAAAATAAATAGTTCATTATTTATTTATTTATATACATGCATACATACATGCATTTCATAAATACAATTATGAGTGCAATAGATTGCATTTATAGGCATGTGAGTGCAATAGATTGCATTTATAGGCATGTGAGTGCAATAGATTGCATTTATAGGCATGTGAGTGCAATAGATTGCATTTATAGGCATGTGAGTGCAATAGATTGCATTTATAGGCATGTGAGTGCAATAGATTGCATTTATAGGCATGTGAGTGCAATAGATTGCATTTACAGCATCTGCCACATTTAATATCAGTGTCAATTCATAACAAAAATAATCCCACGTTAATGCTATGTTGTTTATTTAATTAACTTTCAACTTTGAGTCAGATAATAAAATTAAATGGTGTTAAAGCATTATCAGTTTTATTTGCCACACCCAGATCTGTTGTAAAGATAATTCAATTAATTATTTAGCTTTAAGTATGATAAATTCATGCAGGTATAATGTGCATTCTTCAGTATTTTCCAATGCATCCATTTGTTCATACTAAAAACATATGATTGTCATATTTAATGCCTACATTAACCACCTTTAGGCCTTTCATGATATTTATATTTTGTTGTATGATATATTGTACCAAAATATATTGCGATACACGACATTATTGCCATTTTATGCCACTTGTTGTATACGCATATCAGCTATAATGTTGCTAGAATTGGTTTTTATTCATGCGCGATCTGTATTGCATCGCCAAAAAGGATTGAGGTCATATCTGTGTTGTGTGATGAGTCCATATATTGATTATTGTACAGGCCTCATCAGCATCATTAATAAACCCACCCAGCATGGACTTTATGGCAATCTCGAGTTCCTAAATATCTCTAATTAACCTCATGGCATGCATATGGATGTATTTCAGGTCTTGAATGGCCTGTCTAGCTGAAACATCTAGGCTTAGTTTAGAGACAGCCGTGTAGTGGATTACTCGCAAATCTGTTTAGCTTTAATCTATAGGGTGTGTGTGTGTGTGTGTGTGTGTGTGTGTTTCCCGTAGTCGTGATCAGTCCTGTGTGACGCCTATGTTTTCTGTACACAAGACCGCTGCCGGTAAAGCTGCTTGTTGTAGGAATATCCCGATGTAGAGTTTGGGCATTTGATTTAATTTATTTAAATAATCTCAACTTTAATTTCAGACACAGCAGGTAAAAAAACAAACGCTAGAAATGATCATCACCCTAATGACTGATTACATTAAGAATTGTAGACATATTTAAATATTATTTCAGCTTTATTATAAAATTAAATGTTTAAATATGAAAATATGACATTGTTTGATGAACTATTCGCTCATTTGCATGCTTTTCTGGCACAAAAATCTGAACATTGCGTTTAATTTTGTTGATTTATTTCATTTTTGACAGATTAAAGGGTTTTAGAGTATAGATTTGTGGCAATCTCACTCCATAAATCAGAAACAATAACTGCATTAAAGAATATTTGTAGAGTAACACCTATAATCATGCATATTACTGTTTAGTACAACAGGGAATTACAATGGGGGTGGGGGGAACGTTTAAAAATATGTGTTGTAATTAAAATCTATTGACACAAAATCATAAAATGCAACAAAAGATATTTAAAAAAACGTCAATATTATTTTCATAACATTAGACTGAACAAAATAAAAAGAGTGCAAAACCCAATTCTCAAAGCAGTGTTTTTGTCTGTGGTGTCTGGATTTAATGTCAAATTTTCTGCTGAAATCTTGTTGCGCATAAGTGACACATGATCGTTACATCAGAGGGCAAAGGCGAAGATTGTAATGTTTCATAAACAAAGCAGTTACATGATTAACTTGTATAACTGAGCTGTGTTTGAGGGTGTTCTTGTCTCAGTTTGTTTGTTTCTTTTAAATCCAATGCACTTTGCTGGCATACGTACATGGGTACTATCACATCATTTTTTGCTGGATTCCAGGACATGTTGGGCTGTCAGGAAGTGAGCGAGCTGATGTAGCTGCTAAAGATGCTTTAAAGCAAGTTGTGAGCAAATGCCAAATTCCTCCATCAGAGATGAGACCTTTTTTATTTAAACCTTTATTTGTGATTATTTTCTCAGGCTTTAACAAAACATTTTGTACATTTTTAGGGTTGTCATTTCCCCCCCATTTTTGAACATTGCCGCTGAAATGAATTAGCAAACAAGTAAAATTAAAATACAATTACAACAGGAAAAGATAAAAGTATAGCAAAATTGAAAATATGAATAATAATAGTAAATAAATGAAAATAATAAAATAACAACAATACTAAATTAATAAAAATAAATAAATAAATTAACTTTAAAAATAATTTAAATAAATAATTACCTACAGTACATGACAATACAAATCAATATTCAACATTTATATTTTAAATAAGTGGCAAGAGGAGTGGGATGCATTAGAAAATAATACATTTCCTGAAATCTCAAACAGAATTTTAAGACATTTTGAGACTCGATTTGATCAAGTGATTTTTACCAGATGTCGTATTTGGCAGAGAAGATTAACTCAAGCCTTTTTACTTAAAGATGAAGACCCCACTTAATGTTTGTGCTGCAAAACTCCCCTTACTGTAAAACACATTTTACTGGACTGTCCTGCTTTTACTGATTCCAGAAGACTTTTTTTAATGAAATAAACTCTTAGCTAAGTGACAACATATAAAAATGTAAGAGTTCTTATCATGTATTAACACAAAGTCTTATTTAATTTGTGTATTCATTTGTTTGTTGTTCTTAGTTGTTTATTTAATGTTGAAACGTTCTTGCCATGAAAATATGAAAATGACCTTTGTTTCTGACATGGCAATGAATAAAAAACATGCATGACATGCATGGGTACATTATTGCCAAATTGTACATAGCGGGGGGTGAAGTTAATAATAATAGTAATGGTTGTCTGTGTATTTTTTTCTCCCTGTGTGTTTGAAGCGATCACTAGGCACTTGTCACACCCCTGACCTTTAACCTCTGTGTGTTTTACAGTGTGCCCAAGCCAATGACTGGCAGTCGGCCAAATCCATATACGAGTTCTCAGCCATAGACATTGATGGAAATGATGTTTCTCTGGAGAAATACAGGTCAGCACATTACACACACGTACAACTAGATTAAAGATTATTATCACTTAATTAGCTTTAAAAATAATATTAATATTGAACGCTTTTTTGTCGATGGTTAATATGAAAAAGTAAAAGTATATGTAGAAGTATTACTATTTGTTTATACTGTGTATTAATATACATTTTTTATTGTTAATATATTTTATATTATAAGTTATTAAATATTATGAAATTATTTTTGAGTGATGATTATTTTTCAGATTTTTTTATCAATTAACAAAATACTCATAATTGCAGTAATTGTCAATGTTTTTAAATAGTTCTTTGTTTTACGTCTGTTAACGTTGAAAGTAAAATGTACAAGTATTTACTTTTGGTATTAATAATATATACTTATGTGAATTTATTATGTTTAAATTATTTAGTTTTATATCAAGTAACAGAAATAGTTGTAATCGCAGCAATTGTCAAATGTCTTTAAATAATACTTTGTTTTATTTATGTCTCCTCTGCTGCATTTGTAATCAAATATAGTAAAACACCAATAATATTCTGAAATATTAGTAAAATTAGGGCTGCACAATATTGAAAAAAAAAAAACTGACATTGCAATATTTTCATTCACTGCGACTTTATAAATTGTGATTTATAAATGCAATTTCACATTCTTAATTTTAGATCAGTTGCGATGGTTGTGCAGAGGACCATATCTGAATAAAATATAATATGAGATCTGACAAGCGTAGTTGAATACAACAAAATAAAGATTCAATGATTTATGATTTTCTGGGAAGTCAAACAGTATTCAGAAGCAGAAATTCAATAATAACTTTGTTGTTATTCATTCATTTTCTGTTCGGCTTAGTCCCTTTATTAATCCGAGGTCGCCCCAGCGGAATGAACCACCAACTTATCCAGCACATTTTTATGCAGCGGATGCCCTTCCAGCCGCAACCCAGCCTTGGGAAACATCCACACACACACTCATTCACACTCTTACTCTACGGACAATTTAGCCTACCCAATTCACCTGTACCGCATGTGTTTGGACTGTGGGGGAAACCAGAGAAAACCCACACGAACACAGGGAGAACATGCAAACTCCACACAGAAACGCCAACTGATCAAACCAAGGCTCGAACCAGTGACCTTCTTGCTGGAGACGACAGCACTACCTACATCGTCACTGCGTCGCGTTGTTGTTATTATAATAATAATAATTATTATTATTATAAAAATAGTAATAATAATATTAACACTTTATCATTTTATTGGAGTATAAATTTGCAATAAACCTTTTAAGATGCAAACAATCGTTTAATTTTATGGTGCCCAAATATTTAGGTTTGCTCTCAACTCTTAGTCAGGCCTTAAAAAAATTGATGCAAATAATAAACTTCCACTCAAAGGTTAAAATTTAAAATGATTTCACTGTTGTTAACCGTAACGTCTGGCCAACTATAATCCTGACACGCTGCAGATCCCTGCGCTGGACTGTTGCAGACTTGCACACTGCTGGATCAATGATGAAACCATATATCGTGCAGCCCAAAGTAAAATGGTTACTATAAAGCATTATTTTTCTCTGTGAAAACCTTTTAAAATGTATTCTACTGTGTTTTGAAGGATCCCGTGACACTGGAATCTTTAGTAATAATGCAATGCGTGTTTTTACAGTATTTTTGTGCACCTAAATGCAGTTTTGTCTCACAATACCTGTAGTTTTAATTAAAACGTCAAACTTATGACAAGTACTGTGCGCTGTTTAATCTAACTTTACACTAATAAAAGCAAATTTACACACTTTCTCTTGTTCCTGATCCTCGCCTCCATCAGTCACTTCACATTTGTTGATTGTGCGTCTGGTTAATGTTAGTGTGTGAAACTGTGCCGTGGTGTCTGAAGTGTGTTTGTGTGTTATTTTTCAGGGGTTATGTGTGTATCATCACAAACGTAGCCTCTAAATGAGGTAAAACTCCAGTAAACTACACTCAGCTTGCGGCAATGCACGTCACGTACGCTGAGAAGGGTTTACGCATCCTGGGCTTCCCCTGCAACCAGTTCGGAAAGCAGGTGCGTATTACACTGCACTACATTAAATATACAATTGAAGACTTTTTTTATTATTATTATTGTTTTTAAATGTACTGCAAGCGATTTGTAAAAAGGGGCATTTAAACAAGATGTAAAATAAGTCTCTATCCATAGAGCAGGGGTGGGCAAACTTGATCCTTGAGGGTCGGTGTCCTGCATTGTTTAGCTCCAACACTAATCGAACACGCGTGAACATGCTAATTAATGTCTTCGTGATGACTAGAAATCTGTAAGCAGGTAAAAAAACTAGCTTGCTGTTGCAAGTGGTGTTAGAGAGGTTAATAGGGGGTGTTCAACTTGTGGTATGCGTGAGTCCTAATTAGGGATGCTCATTTCGGTTAATTTTGCGAACCGACAACCGCCGCTCATTAATCGGTTATTAACGGTTAACTGGTCAGATTACTATTAATTTTATATTAAACAAATTGACGTGTCTATTTAGTGTCTGACACATTAAATATTGCATTAAATACTGATTTATTTTTATATGCCAGCATATTAATAACAGAACAATACAACAGAGCATTTTCACGCACCTGCAGTGTTTAGCACAGAAGAGCAGAATAATCTAAATAAAATGAATAAAATAAATAGGCCTGCACTAAATTATATTCCACTTAAATAATTGATTTATATTAAATACTGACTGATTCTTTTTAATAACCGGCATGGGCTGTTTTTTTTCCAATCATATTTTTGTCTTCCGTCAAATAAAATAGCAGACCTCCTCAAATCGCTTGCTCCACGGAAAATATGCATTTATTTAATGCCCCGTTTGTGTTATTATAAATCACAAAACCTTTTTACATTTTAATAGAAATCATTATTTTAAAGATTATGTCTTGCTATGGTTTCCTTTCTCTCCATCGCGGTTCAAGTGCGTGCGCTGCGTGATGAAAAGACAACAACAACGCGCGCGCATATGTTGACTTTTTGTAAACAGTTGTGTTGTTTAGATATGATATTGCATTAATGTGCATACATGCTTTATATGCTGCAAAATAAAAGGTAAAGCCTATTTGTTGCGTTTATGATGCAGATCCAGGTCAACATAAGCGCTTTTTTTGGCATCAACACGTCTGTTTCAGGCAATATTCTTCTTCCATTTTGCTTCTTTGGCAAATGTGTCTGTAGGCACGGGTTACACGTTATCGTCCCGATTCCAAAAACGCGAGGCGCACCTCACTGCCTTTATATGTTGACAAGGAAAAAAGAAGAGAAGAAGCGCGGTCCTCTTATGAAACGACTGAATCAGCTGGGTATCGATTGTGCAAAAGTGTTGCTGTAATTGCTGTAAGTGTTGTTAATAATATTATGAAATTCAATATTTGTACATTCATACAGCTCTGCTAACTTAAAACAGCGATTAGCCTTCAGAGCGGCAATAATGCGTCCTGAAGTAAAGCGAAACGGCTATAATTTCCAGCAAGATAGAGTGATTATATGCAGAGTCATACTTTATCTATAAATAAAGTAAAACTATAGAAACTGTGTTCATCTTAACTGAAAGCTTCTGCGTGTTTGCTCGCCTCACGCATCGCGCACCTGTCAGTCAGCACGTAACTTCAAAGGATTAAACAATAGCGCACAGCACTATACGGTTACAAAAAAAGTTTGCGCTGTTATAATCCACTTACCTTTTAATACGTTTTGATGCGATTATAATCCGCTATTAAAAACAACAACAACAGCAATAACTGAATGTTTTGAATGGGTATCTAGCCGTGGCGGGATGCATTTTGTTCCCCGCCATGGAAGAATGAATGTAGCGGAAACCAAGCTCTTAAAGTTCTCTGCTGCTCTGGGATGAGCCGCGTGCAAAAGATGCCCCTCTTAACGCAAAGGCGCATTCAATCGGCCCCTTATGCAGCCAAACTAAAAATATATAAAATAATAATTTTAATCGTTTAACTGATAGCATTAATCGGTCACAAACGCACCCTTTCGGTTAACGGTTAATCGATTATTTTGAGCATCCCTAGTCCTAATGCCTCGGTAGGTGAAGGGGACACTATACTGTCAGTGAGTGTTGTCTTTCGGATGGGACATTAAACTGTGGTCCTGACTCAGGTCATTAAAAATCCCATGGTACTTCTGGTAAAGAGTAGGGGTGTAACCCCAGTGTCCTGGTCAAATTCCCTCTATTGGCCCTTACCTTGGACTCCCAATCATCCCCATCCACTGAATTTTCTCTATCACAGTCTCTCCACTCCACCAATAGCTAGTGTGTGGTGAGCGCACTGGCGCCGTGGTCCTGTGGCTGCCATTGGGACTATGATCCCAATTTAACATTGCATATCCAGCAGTGTGACTAATGTGCAGACACACTGCGATATTGATGCTGAATCGATATATTGTGCAGGCCAGATGTAAACTAAGTGGAAAATATCAAACCTATTTAAAATAGACTTTATTTCAAATAGTTGCCAACAAAATGAAAATAATAAATAATATTCGCCAAATAGATCTGTTGTATTTAAACGAAAGGACACACAACCAGTTGCTGATGTGACTATATTAATAAACCAATGATGCAGTTTGTGCCATCAGATGTATGCGGAGTTATTTGTGTTCTAGCTAAATATTGTGTGTGTGTGCTCGTGTGCAGGAGCCTGGAAGTGAAGCGGAGATTAAGGAGTTTGCTAAAGGCTACAATGCAGAGTTTGATCTGTTCAGTAAGATCGATGTGAACGGAGACGCAGCTCATCCTCTCTGGAAGTGGATGAAGGAGCAGCCCAAAGGCAGAGGAACACTGGGGAAGTCAGTCAATGCTTTCTCTATTCTCAGTTATCACTTGTCCTCTAGTTTAATGCACTGATTCTCTTCTATACTGCTTTATTCCCACAGCAACATCAAGTGGAATTTCACCAAGGTACGTGTGTTCCCTGTTTATTCTCACTCTCTTAATGTTTTTTATTCTTGTTTTTTTTCTTGTTTTTACCTCTCTATTTTGTTTTATGTCTTTCTTTTTTTGTTTCCTTTGTTTTCTTTTCGTCTTTCAGTTTTTTCCTTCTTGTTTGATTCCTTTCTTTTTCATTTTCTTATTTTTTCCTCTTTTTATTCTCTTTTTTTATTCTTTTCCTTTTTTCTTATCTTTTTTTGTTTTCTTTTGTTCTTTTTTTTCTCCCTCTTTCAGTTTTTCTTCTACAATTTTTTTTCTTCTTTATTTATTCTTTTTTTTCTTTCTTTCATCTGCTTTTTCTTTCTTTATTTTGTTTTCTTTTTCTCCCTCTTCAGTTTTTCTTTTTTTCCTTTCTTTTTTTCTTTTAATTTTCCCCCTCTTTTCTTTCTTTTTGTTCTTTTTTCTTTCTCTTTTTATTATTTTTATTTCTTCATTTATTTCCTCTTTACTTTTTCATTCTTTTTTTAATTAGTTTTTTCTTTCTTTTATTCTTTTTTTTTCTTTCTCCCTTTTTCAGTTTTTTTTCTTTTTTCTACAATTTTTTTCTTTATTTATTTTTCTTTCTTTATTTTTTTTCTCCCTCTTCAGTTTTTCTTTCTTTATTTGTTCTTTTTTTCTTTCTCTTTTTAAAATTTTTTTCCTCTTACTTTCTTTATTCATTCTTTTTTCTTATCTTGTTTTTTCTTTCTTTATTTTAATCTTTCTTTGCTCCCTTTTTTCAGTTTTTTTCTTTCCCTTTTTTCTTTCTCTTTCTAGTTTTTTTCCTTTTCTCTTCTTCTCTTTCAGTTTTTTCTTATTTAATTCTTTCCTCTTTCTTTCTTTTTTATTATTCATTCTTCTTATTTCTTTTTTTCTTCCTCCATTTGTTTTTCTTTTTTAAAATAGTTTCTCATTTCATTTCTTTTTAATTTTTTTATTGTTTTAATTTCTTTCTCTCTCTCAGTTTTTCTTTCTTTCTTTTTCAGTTTTCTTTAGTTTTTTTATTCTTTGTTTCTCCATTTTTGTTTCTTTGTCTTCATTTCTTTCTTTTCAGTTATTATTTTTTTTTTTCTTCTGTTTTTTTTTTCTTGTGTAATAACTTATTGTTTAGCAATTTTGTTTTTAATAGCATCTGTTTTACTTATTGTTAATATTTTGGGATTTGTTTTAAAATTGCAATTTAGTTTGTTTGACAAAATATTTCCATTTTTACAAAATATGCAATGGAAAATGTTTTGTGTATTTTCGGTTTTTGCATTGATGAAAACAGACATGTGTTAATGTTCTGTGTCTTATCGTGAACTCTGCCTGTTGTTTTTGTGTAGTTCCTCATTGATAGAGAGGGTCAGGTTGTGAAGAGGTACGGACCAATGGACGATCCAAGCGTAAGTCAAAACCATTTATACTCATGATTTATTTAAACTTTTTGGTGGGATAAATGTATTCATTCCTCATGTAATCTTAAAGAAAAAAAACATCTTGCATTTTTTATTCTTTGAGCATTTATAAAAAAACATTTGACATTGTTTTTAACAATTTATCTGACAATTTTTAAATTCAGGTTTTTTTGCTCCAAATTGCAGATTTCTTTTTAAGCGTCTCAATTACATTTATCTGTAAATTCATATTAATTTTTTTATTCCTTTTTGCTGAGTTTTGAAAACTTGTCAAGTTGTATTTATGTAAAATAAATTGTCTCAAAGTATTGCTTGCAAGGTTCTTCTGTTGTTGTTGTTGTTATAATAATAATAATAAGACAAAAATATTTGTTTTTCTGTGTCTTGCAGACTTTTGTTTCTTTTTAATCGTCACACAATTACATTTTATTATTAATAGTATCCTTGTTTTTGCTCTATATTCAGATTTTACAGCTTGCAATTTTTTATGTTTTTATTTTTTCGTCCCAATTTCTGTTTTTCTAAGTTTTGAAAGCTTGGCAACATATTTCTTTTTTTTTTTTTTTACCTCTTGCAAAATTATTAATTTATTCTATCTTAATTCTGAGTTTACAGCTTGCAAATGTATTATTATTATTATCAATATTATTATTATTATTATTATTGTCATTGTTATTATAACTATTATTTTAATCTTACAAAATTATTATTTTATTATTTTTTTACATTTTGGATTTTGCTTTCTGTCTTTCGTTGTAATTGTTTTTTTTTCTTAATTTCTAAATCTTTTTCTTTCTATATTTCCTTTTTCTTTCTTTAACAGCTCAGTTTTACAAATTTACGAGTTTAGATATATTTTCACAGCAAAAAATAGCATGACCATTGACAGTTTCCCAAAATTTTCTCACAGTTGTGTATTTACAGACTTCTCAGCCGCTGCATAAACTAAAGTCATAATTGTGAGCGCTTTATACTTGTCTGTTAGGTGGTGGAGAAGGATCTTCCCAAGTACCTGTAGAGTGTGTATGCTGCGGCGTCTCCGTCCTGTGTTTTGGGCTCTGTTCTCTCTGGAGCAGAAACGCTGGACGTCTGCAGGTGAAGCCCAGACGTGTGACGGCTGATCCTCAAGCCTGTGTTCAGGTGGGTTCGGCCTGATGTTCCCGACGTGCAAAAATACTGGGAAAACCCTGCAAATGTTCAGACAAGTGTGTCCAGAGAGGAGCTTCATGCACTGAAAATACACTGAGCAATCTTTTATAATCAACAGCCATAATTAAAGAGTCATGTCATCATCTGGTGTGGCCTGTTCTTTCACTGCTTGTTGGACTTATGTGGAGAGGTATGTGTTCTAGAAAGGTCAAAGCTGCATTAAAAATGACACTGAGACTTCTTTCACACTGTCAAAAATGTATGTTAATGAACAGAGTTAGTATTTAGGCGTTCACAGAAGTTTATTTACAGTTATGAATTGCATTATGGGATGTTGATCTCTACTCTGCCCACCTTTTGATGTTGTAGATTAAACTACAGTTTAACAAAGTGACTCTTAGTGACATTTTAGTAGTTTGAGATCATGTATAAAAATATTATCTAGAGAAATAAATGTGTAGAATAACAGAAGATGTGCTGCAGTTTATTACAAGGTGTTTGTAGTGTAATAAACAACACCAACACAGACAATCGTGCACTGCAGACTGTTACACATTCATAAGTCGCTTTTCACACTTTGCAAGGTTAAAAGTTGTTGGAAGAAAGGTCAAGATCTCATAATGCGACTCAAAAGCAGAAATAAATGAGGGGAAATAAAAACATGAATCACAAAAAGACAAATTTACAGATTTCCTTGTGTACAGGGCTACCACACTGCTTGAAAGTGATTGAATTTCAGACAAATTCAAGGTCTGGAAAGTGCTTAAAAACATAGGTTCCTGAAATAGCTTGAATTTATAGTTTATGATGTTATTTCAACAAGTGTACTGTTATGCTTTCAAAAACTGAGAACTCATTCATTAATTTATTTTCTACCGCTTTTCCGGGGCCAGGTCATGGGGCAGCAGTTTTAGGAGAGAAACCCAGACTTCCCTCCCCCCAGACATTTCCTTCAACCCCTCTAGGGGGATCCCGAGGCGTTCCCTAGATCAGCCAAGAGACCTAGTCCCTCCAGTGTTTCCTGGGTCTTCCCCAAGGCCTCCTCCTGGTGGGACATGCCTGGAACACCTCCCTAGGTAGGCGTCCAGGAGGCATCCGAAACAGATGCCCGAGCCACCTCAGCTGACTTCTCCTGATGTGGAGGAGCAGCGGCTCTTCTCTGAGCTCCTCCAGAGTGTCAAGCTCCTTATACTATCTATAAGAGTGCGCCCTGCCACCCTGTGAAGGAAACTCATTTCGGCCGCTTGTATCTGAGATCTTGTCCTTTCAGTCATGACCCAAAGCTCATGACCATAGGTTAGAGTAGGAACATAGATTGGCCAGTAAATCGAGAGCTTTGCCTTTCCGCTCAGCTCCTTCTTCACCACAACGGACCGGTACATCAACCACATTACAGCTGCCGCTGCACCAATCCGCCTGTCAGTCTCGCACTCCATCCTTCCCTCACTCCTGAACAAAATCCCAAGAAACTTAAACTCCTCCATCTGGGGTAAGGACCCTCCTCCAACCTGAAGATGGCAAACCACCTTTTTCCAGCTGGAGCACCATGGCCTCGCACTTGGAGGTGCTGATTCTCATCCCAGCAGCATCACACTCTGCAGTAGAGATCTGCGCAGGACTAAATTTTGAATCCCGCACCCGCCAGGTTTTAGCCCGAACCCGACCGCTCCCGCTTATATTAAGAATTTATTATATTTATATTTAAACCGAAAATCCCCCAGCTATACAGTCCAGCGCAGCGCACATTACTCTCGGGCCGATTCCGGCGCGGATGTGGCAGCGTCGGCTCGCTTACGGTCGCCGCATCTGGCCCGATTGATTCGGAGCCGGGCTGAGTGGTAAGTCTCTGGCAGGCGAGAATCTAGCCGGAACTGGCCTGAGTGTATTTTGCTATCTGGGAAATCCCTCTCACTCTCTCTCACTCACTCATATTCGCATAGCAATATCCGCGATATTGCTAGACAGCCCGCTCCCGTCCCAAATTAAACCCGTTACCGACCGCTCCCGCGATTTATTCGGAAATTTATTCCGCGGGAATGCAGACCTCTACTCTGCAGCAATCTACCTGTAATCCTAATAGCTATGTTGTCGGGGGCTAATGCCCCTGGTAGGGTCACCCAAAGCAAAAAGGTCTTGGGTGACAGAGAGGTCAAACTAAAGGCTGATTTATACTTCTGCGTCAAACGCATGTGTATGCTACAGTGTTGACACATAGCCCTACGCCGTGGCCTTCGGCGTCGCTGGCGTGCACCTCTCAAAAAATGTAACTACACGTCACAACGACGCGTAGCGTAAGCTCTGTGATTGGTCGGCTTGGTATCGCTGATCAGTCTGGGCGGGACCGAGAGCCGCGTGAATGGTGCGAGCCCGATAGAGCGATTGTTTACAAGTGTGGAGTCCCGTGAAGAAGCTCCGGATGGAAAGTTCTGTTCTGTGTTTACCTCATAGTTAAAGTTGTTGCACGTCCGCCGGTTCCTGCCTCAAAATGAGCGAGTTTGACCACTTGTACATCCAGGAAGTGTTCAGGAAAAGCAAACCAGCAGCGAAGAAACTCGACACAGAGGAACATTTACACCTCACTGCCCACTAGCGTTTCGGAAGTGTTAATGCAGACCAACAGAGACAGCGCGCAGAAGTATAAATGCACAGCTACGCACGTTACATGCGCCGTGGATTACGCCATTCACTTGACGCAGAAGTATAAACCAGGCTTAAGGGTGCAGTAGAGTTGGTTTTCCCTCTTGGTGCAGTTTGTTTGGGCAGGTGTGAATGCAGCAGTCGTACTCAAAGCGGACTAAAACAAATCCTGAAGCGGTTCGTTTGTGGTGAGAATATGATCCGAACTATAACAGATACAACCGCAAAAAGTACTGCGCCTTTTGGACTAATCCAGCTGCCGTAGGCCGATGCGCTATGCATTATGGGGTATGGAGGAAAATATTTGTTGACTGCGATTTACGAACAGAGAGAGAGAGAGAGAGGGAAAACATTACCTGATGGATCGTTGGTAATATTTCCGCAAGATGAGCATGTCGCAGTTTAGCTAAATTAATTCACGCCTCCTCCTGAAGTGACGAGCGATGCATTAAAACACTGTTTTCCAGCCGCGCTTCATTCTCGAAATGTATAGTTCGTCTAAAGCAGGGATACAATCAGCCAGCGCAGTCGCCCCTCCATAGTCAAAAGCGACATGTTATGTCTGCCGGTTTGTTTACTTGTGGGAGTTCACTGGCATTTTCCCGCACGTGAATTCTGACCAATCAATAAGCAGTTTAGGAACTATTTTCAACAACATCTGGCCAATGAGAGATGTGGATTTTGTCAGATGACTGCACTTTGGTTCTTTTCAACTGGTTCGGACCAGAGTGTAGTGTGAAAATGACCAGAAGATGGCAGAAAATGCAACAATGCATCCTTTATTGCCCTTGGTCCGGACCAGATGAAGTGAACTACAGATGCACCCTAAGTGCAGTTCAAAAACCCCTTTATGGGTACAAAAACATAAAGGACCGTGACGTTACCTGGTATGGCACAGCCTGGGCCCCACCCTGAAGCCAGGCCTGGGGTTGGGGCTTGTATGTGAGTGCCTGGTGGCTGGGTTTTTTTTCCCAGGGAACTTGACAGGGGCTTAGCCCGAAGGAGCAATGTGGGACCATCCTCCTGCAGGCCCACCACCTGCAGCAGGGGGAGCCGTAAGGGGCCGGTGCATTGTGGAGCGGGTGGTGGTCGAAGGTTAGGACCATGACAACTCAATCGTCAGGCACAGAAACTGAGAACCTAATCGTTTTAAAGGCACCTATGATGAAATCAATCGTTGTAAGCTGTTTGGACAGAACTTTGTGCAGTATAGTGTGTTCACAGTCATATTGGAGTGATAGAAACCGGGTTCATACGGTCATGGAAAACCTGGAAAAATGACTGCTGTCAATTTTGACGGTATTTTCCAGGCCTGGAAAAGTTTTGGAAAAGTCATGGAAAATGAATATCTGTATGCTGGAATATTGATCAGTCGCCTTTACTTTTTGTTTATGTCTTTGGCCAATCACATGCTCTCACATTATTAGTGCGGTGTAAGCATTATCTAAATCAATTTAATTTTACATAGATATAAATTGGGCCTCACCGTGGTGCAGTGGGTAGCACGATCGCCTCACAGAAAGAAGGTCGCTGGTTCAAGCCTCGGTATTTCTGTGTGGAGTTTGTGAATCATCAGTCATCAGTAAGGTTTGGGTTAGTTCAGGACAGTGTCTGAAATAACCTCAGTTATTATGGGCTGTAGTTGTCCTCAGGTTATATCTTTATGAGCTCATGCTTATCTAATCATGAAAGCAGTGGTTCATTTGCCAGATATCTCATTTCAACCAATCAATGTTGATTAAGTGCAACTTGAGATGTAGTATTTGAGATATTCTGAGTTCAAAGGTTACTCTGACATTATCTATGTCAAGTGAATTAACCAAACAGGTCAATGTTTGTACACATATTTTTAAGATATTTAATAGTTTTCAAATGTTCTTTTGATTACAAACCTTAATTTGAAAAAGCTTAATTCATTATTTATGAGCTGAAATAAAAAAAAATCAAGTGTAAAATACTACTTTTTAAATTATATTTGTGACTATTTGTGCATATTTTTTGTTTGTTTGTGTGTTTGTTTACCCCATACCCTGGTTTATTACTTTTAATATGTATTTTAGTTGTTAAAAACTTAAGCTGATATAAATCCCCTTAAACAGAATATAATATAAAGGAATGTTATCCGGCGCTTTGCAAGTTCATTGTCATGCAACAGGTGGCGCTGTTTACTTAAATCTTTTTAATCCAGATTAGATTTTTCCAAAGGCTTTCATTAAAAAAAATCGAGCTTTTAACATTGTTCAATCTTTCTTTATTATGAGATTTGTGATTGATTTAAATAGGTTTTAATGGGCTGATGTTAAAATAAGTTGATTATCTTGTGGATCTTATTTTTTGATTATTGTTATTATTAAACACAGGGGTATCAGACGTATTATTGTTTATTTTTTTTATTTTAAACAACAGCATATACTGTTTAACAAGACATCCAAATAACACAAGCGTAACTAAAATATCAAAAGAAAATAAATAGGCTAAAATCTTTTAACAGATTCTAGGATAAATAAA